CCAGGAATCCTAACCGCTAGACCATATGGGATTCCATGGAGAAAGGCACAATAAATTAGTGGACATAAATACGAAAAGAAGAAAGTTAAGGGAGATCATTCCGACGCAGTGGGATGCAACAAAATAATATTATGAAATTGAAATATAAAGTTTGATGATTAAAACTGTTTTTAACAAATTCATTTTCTCAGAAACCGCGCAAACCACTGCTCGGTCTTTAAAGTGAATCAACTCAGGATCGACTTGGAAGGGAATAGCGGTGTGTTTCTATGTCGGGTTTGGACAGAGCGCGGGCCAGAGCAAATTTGGGAAGAAACACTTTTACTATTAGCCAAGGCTTACCTGCAAGGCTGGTTTTCACTGGCGCATAAGTATAAGCGTAAGCAAAATACACAGACCTAACTAGTATTATGTTCATAATTAGGGTCTTTTGTTTAGATAATTTCTAAACAAAAGCTAAAAGGCGCTGGTTATCAGCACTTTTCCTGCGTCTGAGTAGTGTTGCTTAACGCAAATGCGCTGGTGAAAACCAGCCTCAGGTTCCGCCAGTAACCGGCAGCTTTATGCAGGGGGTATGGAGACGAGGCAGTACTCCTGCGAATTCTTTTCGTTTCAGACGAAGAACGACACAATCCACGCTATTTTTGTTTTCCACAGAAGAGCGCTTTGTAACAAATTTAAGCAAGCCACGAGTTTTCAGCTGCTTGGGTTGGTAAAAGTTTTAAATTTTTGAATCATTTTCGCGTTACGGAAGACGATTGTAAACTGGAGTTTTTCACGAAACATTACTTATTTCCAAGAGCGTCAGGCCTCGTCAGGCCTCGCCTGTCATCTCTACGGCGCATGCTCTTGGCCTCGTGTTCGTGCAGTTTCAACGTTCATTAATGTTTGAATAGACTTTTCTGCGTTACGTAATCCTTTTGTGTTAGATTTGTATTCGCACGTTTTTCGCATATATTAGTTCAGAACTTGGCCTTTTTTCGTTCGCTTAAATAAGTTTTAATTTTAATCCTCGGCGTGTACTGTAGGGATCGGAAATCGAGGCATCGTTTTAAAGTTTGGTTCCTGTAATCGTGTGATCGAATTAATGTTTATCTGGTAAACACAGACAAATCCAGTTTAAATCCCTAATATGAAACAAAATGGCGGCTCGTGATGTTTAAGTTGCCGGAAACGCCGACTCCTCGGATCGCCAGGTTTCGACTCATTCTCCCGGCGTCGCCATTGCCATTATCAAATTACGGTTTTTGTTGATTAAACCTTATATCATCAACAACAACAATTCACTCATACAAGGCGAAAAATTCATATTTATTTTTTCCCCGCATGCAACGCCGACTCTTCGGATCGCCAGGTTTCGACTCATTCGATTCTCCCGGCGTCGCCATTGCCATTATCAAATTACGGTTTTCGTTGATTACAACCTATATCATCAACAGCAACACTTCATTCACACAACGCGAAAAATTCATATTTATTTTTTCCTACCATGCAACAGTTACAAATTCACAGCAGATCAGACGTGATGTAACACTAATCCTCGACTGACTCACAGCCGTGTCAAGATCAGTTTGTAGGCAGAACTATTTCATAAGCCACTATCGTTTATCCCAAGAAAAACAGCCTAATAGAGCTGTCTATAGGATGGATATTAAGTATCTTATAATATGGATTTGGGGGGAGGGGCCGGGAACTACCGACTAATCCCTGAAATTGGTTTAATCTAAAAAAAATAGAACCTCATCCTCTGTTGTTTACCTTCTTTATATTAACATTAGTTTAGCCGTCGGTGAACGGGCCGAGAGTTTGTTGAAAATTATAAAAATCTACTCCACGAATTACCTAATAGAACAGCTAACTTCAAAAACTTCTTAAACTGGATGTAACCGAGCATGATCACTTAAATTTCAAAGGGATACAAAATACAAGCACTCTTTTAAGAATATTAAAGAGTTAAAAATCTTGTATCACTAGCTCGGTAAGATTATAAAGTGATGTCTGAGCCGGACAGGGATTTCTAAGACTTGTCTGAAACTGGAAGATTACCCAGCCTGAATTATTTACCTGTATGTTACAATACAACAAACCTGGAAGGACATCGCTTGTAAAATAGCTTTCATACTCTCTAATCTTCTCGCTAATTCTAAATGTAAGTCCAAGAAGTTTCGGCGTTAAAAAAAACATTGTAATAGCTCGAGCAATGTCCTCCGCCGAGGCTAGAAAAGAATTTGAAAAACGTACGTACGAATTAAAAGATATCTCGTCCTAGATATTCTTTCGACACTCTGTGAAAAAAAAAACCTTAAAACTGTTTAAACAAAACCCTGTAAATTAGCACTGCAGAATATATTTCGCTGAAACTAGTCTCATCAGCTGTACGTCATATTGGATTTCGTAAATCCATGCAATATAACACCTGCAAAGTATGTACATTTTAAGAAAAAATTGTATTCCCATACCGGGAGTCGAACCCGGGTCGCGTGGGTGAAAACCAGGAATCCTAACCGCTAGACCATATGCGACAACTGGAAACTGTTCCATCTGCAGCAAAAATAATACCCTTGTACTAGAACACTTCGGTCTGCCGGGAGTCTAGTTTATTGTGGTGACTCAGTCTGTCTATCAACTATTAACTAAAAACTCTAATCTTAAAATCTTCAACAGGCTTTTCGGCACTTGCATAAACAAATATTGTTAGATTAAAATATTTAGTGATTTTGCATTTTAGTTTGCAACTTTTTCACTGCAAAACATTACCGGTTTAGATAGATGCCGATCTAGATGGAAAAATCTAGACCGCTTTCAATATCGATTTCAGCCAATCAAATTGGTGAATTTGTGCAGTTCCAAGTCCTTGTGAAACAGAGTCATATAATAATGCAAAAGAAAAATACCGGGAAAAACATATCGACTCCCATTAACTAACTGGGTGAAAACCAGGAACCCTAACCGCTAGACCATATGGGATACCATAGGGATTGACAAAAAAAATTGTGAACATAGATAACAAAGAGAGCAAATGTAAGGGAGATGGGTAAAGAATGGGTGGAGAAAATAACAAATAAGAAAACTAATGAAGATATAAAAAAACTAGAATTTTTGGATAATAATTGACAGATAGACACCACAATAAACTACCCTCAAGAATGAAGTGCTTTAGTGCAAGGCTACTATAATTGTTGCTATTTCTTTCTTTTCGTGGTATCCCATATGGTCTAGCGGTTAGGATTCCTGGTTTTCACCCAGGCGGCCCGGGTTCGACTCCCGGTATGGGAATTAGCAATTTTTTTCTGCTGCAAGTGACATGGTCGGATGTTTTATTCTGAGACTGAGCGAAGACAGTTAACAGTGGTGCTTAAAAGAAATATAAAATGCTTCGAAACTTTTATTTGAATTCTGTGCTCTCAGTAATGACTACTTGAATATTTGAAGATGAGTGAAATGGAGATCCTAAGTTATTTTACTAACCTTACCACATGAATGGTTGAGAAAAATTTCAACCGATTACTTTCTTCCGAAACCGAATCTTATCGCGTCAGGAAGTTCTCGCCAGAATAGTTGGTGAAAAAGAAGCTCTTACTGGGATAGATTCAACTTAAGTAACCTCAGTGATTGATAAAAAAAATAATCATGAAAAATAAAAGTTAGAAAAACACCTGCAAAGTTTGTCCACTTAAAAAAAGTGAGTTCCTATGCCGGGAGTCGAACCCGGGCCACCTGGGTTAAAACCAGGAATCCTAACCGCTAGACCATATGGGACTGTGTAAGAATTGAGTGAACATAAATATAAAGAGAAGAAAGTCAAGGGAGATCAGTGGATATATGTATCAAGAAAATATCAAAAAAGAAAACAATGAAGATGTCAAACTAGTCTGTCCATAGACGTTCACTTTTTTAGTACGAGTCATTTTATTTCTTTTCTTTTCTTTTCTTTGCGTTTTGACTCGTTCACATCCCACGCACCAGATTAATATTTTTCCAAGCTTGCGATCTCGATGAACTGGAGACAAAATAGAGGGTCTGTGAACAGAATAATCTCAATCTATACTTTTTAGACAATAATAGACACAGATAAACACCACAATAAACTGCCCTCCAGCACGAAAGTGCTCTTCTGCAGGGCTACTCTATTTGCTGCTATTGTTTTCTTTTCGAGTGGTCCCATATGGTCTGGCGGTTAGGATTCCTGGTTTTCACCCAGGCGGCCCGGGTTCGACTCCCGGTATGGGAATTAGCATTTTTTTTTTTTGTGCTTCAAGTGACATGGTCGGATGTTTTATTCTGAGACTGAGCGAAGACAGTTAACAGTGGTTCTTAAAAGAAATTAGAGATGCTTCAAAATTTGTAGTTGAATTCTGTGCTCTGGGTAAAGACTAGTTGAATATTTGAAGGTGAGTGAATTGGAGATCCTAAGTTATTTTGCTAACCTTACCACATTAATTGCTCAGAACAATTTCAATCGATTACTACTGTACTTTCTTCTGGAGCTGAATGGTAGCGAGTTAAGAAGTTCTTGTAGTAGAGTTTTTGAAAAAGATCTCACTCGGATAGATTCAAGTTAACTAGCCTTAGTGCTGGATAAAAAAAAATAAGAATAACACCTGCAAAGTTTGTACACTTAAAAAGTGTGTTCCCATACCGGGAGTCGAACCCGGGCCGCCTGGGTGAAAACCAGGAATCCTAACCGCTAGACCATATGGGATTCCACGACTTGACAATTAAAATTATGGTCTAGCATTTAGGATTCCTGGTTTTCACCCAGGCGGCCCGGGTTCGACTCCCGGTATAGGAATTAGCAATTTTTTGTGCTGCAAGTGACATGGTCGGATGTTTTATTCTGAGATTGAGCGAAGACAGTTAACAGTGGTGCTTAAAAGAAATATAAAATGCTTCGAAACTTTTATTTGAATTCTGTGCTCTCAGTAATGACTACTTGAATATTTGAAGATGAGTGAAATGGAGATCCTAAGTTATTTTACTAACCTTANTTTTTTTTTTTTGTCCCTTGATTTTTCTCTTCGTTGCAAATGGGCCTGACCCCTTTTATATCGTTACTCACAGGTCATAAATTTTCAAAGGGGAAATACTATCTCGATCGGAAAGGTACTGAGACCAAAAATAACAAACAATAAAGATCAAAGTAAGAGAAATTTCTCAAGATTTCATCTCGTGTGAGGAAACGATTCTTCTAAGCTTTGATAGGAAGCGAGCTTTCAGTTTAAGTGCATTTGACTGTGTCATGTTGTGATGGCCAATAAACTCGGCTACTCCTAGAAAGAAAACTCAGTCAATTGTAATTGTTTTGAAGGGCGAGTCTTTGACCTTTCTTACATCGTAATTAAAAGTTGTGATGAGCCTCAAAAATTTTCTCTCTTTTTCAACTCATCGATTCTTCACTTGCGTCCGTCTGTAGTCGGTCATTTTTCAGCGCTGATTGAAAAACCTTGGGGCAACTCCTTCGAGGTGTTTATTTACATCGTGAAACACGCACGCGGCTGAGAAAGTCAGACTGTTCGCGGTGAAACTTTTTTGGCAGGTTATTAATCATGCGTCAACGGGTGATGCCACATATGCAAAGGGCCTGCGCCAAAGAGACTCCATTCGAAACGCGCGACAAAAGATGCCGTTTGTATCATGTGCTGAAATAGACGCGGGCCGCTAGTGGTTTGGCGCCGCCCTATGGCGTTTTCTTCCGCGAGAGGACATTAATCAAATCGCTTGACGGAAATTTATGACTCAATTGCTCGGAGATTTATTGCAGGTTATCGCAACACTTGTTCTTCGTGTTATGTTTCAGCAAGCCCCTGGAAAACGTTTCAATATGGTGAAAATATAAATAAAGTGCTTTAGATTTTGAAATCCAGAGATTAAAGGGCTGGAAATAGTGGCATGCAACGCGTGCAAAATTACATGACTTTATCATCACTTAGATGTACGCTGGTGTATTTAGCGAGTTGATCTGGCTTGATATGTGGATGAAAGTTTCCTAACAAATGCACTGCACCAGAGAACGCCGAGGTCATGAACTCAGCGTGCTACTCGAATCTGATTGGTCGAAATGGGTCACGTGAAGCAGTGAAAAAGTTCTTGCACTAGTCTATTTGTCATAACTCATGTTGTTAAGGGTTAAGATGTCAGGTCCATATAAATCATCTTCGACAAACATGGCCCATCCATCGCTTTATCCCAGCTCGGCAGAGATTTATGCCCAGCAATACACTTCACAGCTGTCCTCACAATTTGAGCGTCAAATCAGTTTGACAGGGAATTATTTTCCCTTCTTGGACGTTACAACCCGAAGATCGGGTATTCAGAGTTCTAACTGCGCGCCATCACGGCAGAGCAGTAGTGCGGGAGATGCAAGGGCTTCCATGTCTCATCACACAACACCGATTCCAGACTATCTCCTTCAGCCAATTTATCCGTGGATGAAATCGAAGAAAGGCGGCAAGTCAGAGTTTGGATTTGGTATGTCACCTTTCTGAGAAAAACTGATAACCTTCCCTTTTTTCGGACAGCCTGTCCGTGGCTCTTTAGCGCGGGACTTAATCTCGAGTTTTGCTGCGGGTTGGAAACCAGCGGAACAAACTAATCCCTCTTTTCCTTTAGTCAATGGTCGCACGGTGGATAAATGGTTTAAACTGCAAATAATGAGTGACATTTTCGAGATTCTAAAATTATGCTCCGTTCGTCTGTTATTGAGGAGTATCTTTTCTGTCAGTAATAGGGCGGAGGTTTGAAGAGTACGTTGTCTTCTCTGGTGATTAATGAAGTTCGTCTTTAGAATTTCGTTGCTTAGCGAGTGGGTAGATAGTAACGAAAGATTAAATGTTGACATTCTATCGCAACATGCAACGCAAGAGCGTGTTTGCAAACATCTAGTTGACATTGTTTCGCGAATGAAACGTTTTCATTGGCGAGAAGGATTGTTTAAATTTGGAACATTGCACCAATTGAATAACAAAGGCCACCATTACAACTGAAGTGGAATCGATTTTGACCACGAAAACAAAACTTGAACTTTGCCCAAATAAGAGGGGAAGCAATTAATAACAAAGTAAGAAACGCGAAAGCTCGATTCTTCGTTTAGGTCATTCTTTTTCAAAGTGGAAAGTTTCTTTGTTGAACCTAGATCGCGCGAGGGTGTCTGCGCAGTTATTCAGTTACTAGACATGTTTTAGTTAGAGATCATGCCCTTTCGTGTATGATATAAATTATCTTTACTATCAGAAATTTGCTGTTTTAAGGCGCGATGTAATGGTTTCTTTGCTTTTTACTTGCAGGACAGAGGCAAGCGAAGCGGCATAGAACGAGCTACACCAACAAGCAGCTGTTAGAGTTGGAGAAAGAATTTCATTTCAACAAATATCTATGCAGTTCTAGAAGAAGCGAGATCGCCAAGACACTAAGTCTGTCTGAGAGGCAAGTCAAAATCTGGTTCCAAAACCGTCGAATGAAATGGAAGAAAGACGACAAAGTCAACGATTCATCATCAGGAAAAACTAAAGAACATTTAAACGATACACAAGGATCACAACGACACTACATGTCATGTTCCCCTCTCTGCCATTCTCCGCCCGTTCACCAAGCCTGCCAAGCGGACAACTTTCACTTGTAGGAAGAACCTAAAACAACAACAAGATGACAAGGAATCTCGCTTAAATTCGAGGGTCAATCAGTTCCCTGGACTCGCTGCGGTACGTTAATTGTCGTAACCTCGTGAATCAGAGCGTTATTTAATGGAAGGAACTCTTGTTAGTAAAGATCAGTGCTTTCCGCCTTCACACATTTGTAATCCAGTGTTAATCCTTCTGAAAAAGCCAATCGACACCAAATTTCCTTTCTCTTTGTTAAAGGTGTGAATGTTGTTGAGAAGAGCTTTTATACCGAGAGTTCCTGATCTAAGACATTTATTTATTGAACGTAATTTTTGCTCGTTGCCTTCGCGCATCGTGGAATTTGTACAAATATTCAATCTATACCTTACAATAAACACTTAGATTAAAACAGCCAGTTCCCCTGTGACCGTAAATCACTGCAAACGTATTTTGTTTCGCTAAGACAGCTAGTGCGACTCCTTCAGCTTTTTAAAGAGATTCTGACAGCTTAGAAAATTGCACCTTGGTCTTCCCGCTATCTTGTTAGTGGCATTCTTTTATACCACCAGCCAAGATGGCGCGAAGTTCGCTCTTCAAGGACATTCTGGCGTTCTGTTCTTATAGCCTTTAGAAAATTACTCTATCAATTACGTTCCACTAAGATTTAGCGACATGTATTGTTGCGTTAGAAATAAACTATATTTTTCATAATTTTCGCTGTGTTGATTGTGTTCTGTTTTTGTATCAACCGAGCACGAGGTCAGTAGAAGTATGTTTCATTTTGGGAGCGATCTTTGTAGTTGCACATGTCTATTGATTACAAAGCATCTTTATCAGTGTTAAGAACCCTAAATCATTGTTGCCACTAAGCAGGGAGGCAAGGAATAGGTTCCTTGTCTAAAATTAAGATTTTTTTCAGCTAAGTTAAACACGAGGCAAAGTCCTTTTCGATGTCATTTCTTCGCAATTGGCATTTTATTCCTGCGGTAAGCGCTCATCTGTGGCTCCTTCTTTACGCTGTCCGCCGAAAATCAGGATTTTTACTTCTGCACTTTATAACACTGACAACATTTTTGACTAGCAACAATGAATTAGGAACGCCTGCGTGATCATAAAAAACGGGCCATTAATTTTCATTACCGAATCCTCGACATTCCTGTTTCTATATTTGCCACTGGCATTTAGTTTTGTGGGCTGTTTCCGCTGATCTTTTAGTAATAATTTCCTTAAAGATTTTAGTATCAAAATCCAAATTAAATGCCTTTTACGTTTAAAGACACTCGTCTGAGATGTGTCAAAACTAATAAATCACTGAAAGTAGCTTGGCGGCCATCTTGTCGGAATGTCCACTGGTGCAGACGAAACAAGCACGCTCAGTTCATCTCATGCCAAATATCACGATTATTTACACAAGATAAGAATTAAATGAAATTTAGAACATTTTTCTTGGGATGGTGGGAGACATACAGAATAAACTTGAAGTTTTTAGAGCAAGCACATGCTTGCGATTCAGCCATTTATGCTTACCTCACTCGATAACTCACAACTCAGTTACACAAACACTTTTAACTAAACCATCTTTATTTCATTCTCAAAGGTTCAAATGTTTTACTTTACAAGTGGAAACTACAGTCATTATCCTATGCTAACTGTTAAAATAATTCAATGTGCAGTCGAATGCATTGTGTGATTGCCCGCAGACTTAAAGATTATTCTTGGCCTGCGAAAATAGGTCATAAATCAAAACTTTCTGTCAATGTCTAGCAGATAAACTAATGTACCTAAAATTATATTCTACCACTTTTGCTAGAAACTATTTTCAATATAAGATTTATGTAGGTCTTGATAGGCAAAGAAATATTACCAAAAGTAAATTCTAGAAGTATTTTTTGCCGAAGTTATTCTGTCTGAGCGTCAGGTTTTCCATTCCTGACGCGGGTGCAAGAAGCGAAATAATTTGTTCTCGTGTTTCAAAAGATGTCCTGAAATGCGCAACATAATGTCTTAAAACTGATGAAACTTTGAAAATTAACTGCAGGAAAAGCAAAGGCATTTCCTAATTTAATAAATGGTAATTCATATAAGTCAAAAGCATTTCAATCTAAAACACAAAGGTTAATTAGCGCCCATTTGAAGAACATGCCATGAGTGACAATTCTCGGTTGGTTTATATACGCCGTATTAAATTTAGTTTGTTACTATCACGGTAACGAACAAAATCTTCATATTTGAAGTTTCCAGCGAAAGAAATTGCTAAAACGCAACGCACGAAATAGGTATGTTTAATAAACTTAAATAATTATTCAGAAAATAATATTCACGAGTAGATCTTCGCGCACCAGTTTTCAATTCGATGTAACGTTTGGAATCAAACAAGACGAAGCTCGAAGCAACAACAACAATGGCCATTTTTAAAATTGAAAAAAGGTAATACTGCATTAATAAGTCGTTTTGGTTAGTTATTATAATGCAGGCATTTCTTCAGTGAACATTGCAATCATAGCCACCTTGTGATTTACATCATGTTATCTGAGAGTTACACACGTCTGTGAAATACAGTTGCTGATTTTCATGAAAGATTCTTTCCCGTTCCTTGTATTTGAAGCAGTTTCTTTCTGAATGCGATGATTTGTTATAGTCATGATAAATTAGCAACAATAACGTAGAGGGCTTAAACATTTAGTCCAAAAAGCTTAAATAAACAATTTAGGCGACCTATCTACAATACAAAAGAAAACTGATAAAACATAGTCCACTGAAGATTTGTACCCTAAGAACAGTTTCTAGAGTCATAATGGTTCCTAATCGAAACTGGTCGTCCTAATCGAGCAAGTATTCTGAAACTTTCGAGCAAAATAAAGATGTGCGGGATAGACTGGACGAAACTCAAATCATGATCAGTTGAGATTACCCCAGAAGCTGTATAGTTCCCTAAACAATCCCCAGCCAGGAATAAACAAACACCTATCACAAATAACTGTAGAAGCTCATTTCTTTCCTCGAGAGCTACACTCCAATATCATCTTAATGGGCTTAATAGTGGTCTGAAGTTAAAATAAACGACTTTCTTACTTGCTTGCCCCCGCATGCACGGCGACGAAGGTTTTGCTTTCGGGCTCTCTGCGTGTAGGAAATGAAAACAGTTGAACCTACGTTCAATTCAAGGACTCCATTTTGAAAAATTCAATGCGGTTTGCATCAGTCTCGGAGGCCCTAATTCCTTTCTTTGAAAGTGGGATATTTCTTAACTTGTTTAGTGGAACTAAACAAAAGCGAACAAAGCTAAATTTTGCAAAGAGGCTGTCTGCTTTGCAGAGATAAAGCAGCAAGCAATTTCACATAAAAGAAAACCGAGAAATCATAAATCATTTGAACGTCAATTTTAATGGAGCTGTGTTTATTCCGGGCACAAATTTGGCAATTCCACTTGACGGGAGACAAAACACTTTCCTGAAGGCAAATCGAGCTATTAACAATTATAACCGAGCAATGAACTTCAAAAGAATATACAACTATATTTCCTATGTATATACATAGATTTGCTTCGATTCTGTAACACTGAGTGAATCGATTGTTATCTCTTTCAAGCCGTCCGACGTCACTTTCTGGGACGCTAAGTCACGTGACTCAAAAAAGGCCTCGACTCAGCATAACTGATTGCTATAACCGTGGTTTAGGAAACTTGACAGCTGAAAACAAAAACGTGTATTCTACGACCATCGGAGAATTCTGTACCTTTCGTCTAGGTGCAGAAACAGAATGGTGGGTTAACTCTGTAATATTTTAAGAGGTTCGTGGCAAATTAAATGGGATATTAACGTACACAACCTGGAAAATTGCACAATAAAGTTGACGGTCCATTTTTCATGTCAGAGATAAGCCATCCCGACGCCTTATCGGTATTTTCATCAGTTTGAGCTCGAGATGCAAGACATGCCTGTCTGTAATGTGTTTTTTAATCTTTTCTTCATTAGAGTCATGCATGCAACTTGGTCTGTGTTGAAACAAGCCCGCATTTATACGAGAGATACTGAGTAGCGCTTTCATGCTTTTAGGTTATTTTTTTTTAAAAGGTGAACTTTTACAAGATTGTATAAAATGCTCATTGGTGTACAGGGAAGCTTAAGTACAACAATAATCTTCTTGTTCTCTTTCTGTTTCAAATGTTTACCGCCGACCGTGCCAGAACCTACGTCTAGTTTATGTTTTTTTAGACTAAAAATGTTACAATTCAATTTTTGTTGGTGCTGGACTTTTCGTCGAAATGTTAGTTTCCAGTAATGCAGACTGCAGTCATTGAATGGAAAATCTATCAACGAGCTTCACAGAAGATTTTCCAGGCTTATCATTTCCTGTGCATGGAGACTTAAAGATAATTTTCACAAAAGTTACATCTTGAGATAATATATAGCTAATCTAGAGAAGGCTCCACGAAACGTTTTTAAAGTAAAATCGTAAATTTTGTGGTCTCTTGAAGCTTGACAATTGTTGAGCCAGGGTTTTTACACTAGAAAAGAGTCGTTGTCGTCTTCTAAAGTAGGAACGACAATCGAATACCGTTAGTTTTGGTTGAATAAGCCAATTTATGTCTGTGGAACAGTCGGGAACTGTTGCGTTACACCAGAGGAGTGTTTTGGCTCCTTGTTGTCTCCAGATCAAAAGCTGATTAATCTAATAAATACCTGATTAATTATACTCTTTTATGGAGGTGTCAAAGCATGTCTCGCGGAGGAGAGTCAAGAAGTTCAATCAAAACAAACAAGACTCCAACATAGAAACTTCCTATCACAAATAAACCAAAACTTGTCCTCTTTCTCTATGTTAGCCCATATGGCCCTCCCGCGGAAATTTTAAACTTATGTGAGTTTTTAGAGTTATTAGAAGAACCTGTATTATAATAACGGTAAATCCATTTTTGTACAGAAACAAAAATTGAAAAGTCCACCGGTGATTTTGTTGGAATTTCATTTAAGGAACGAAAAGTAAGGTCTTCTTGCCGCAGAGAAAACAAAATTTTCACGGTCAAATTTGGTTTATACTTATCACATAGATTTTTCCGTTTATAGAGGGAGAAACGTGTTTCGATAATGACGATAATGACGTGTGGTAATTGAACTTGCTACGGAATTTACGCGCCAAAATGTACACAGCAACCGACTCGCTCCAGTCTTTTGTGTCGCAACGTCGGATTCAAAATGGCGGATTCAAAATGGCGGCGCTTGTTCTGACAACCCTAATAATTTAGACAAATCAAAACAAATTTGATCTCATTGCTTAGGTCAAGATGATTAGATGATATCGTCATATCTTTTTGTAAAACTCAGAGGTATCCTTGGGGATCAGAAAATGTTTCATGATTTAAAGTCACTCAGTTTTTTTTAAGCCAACTGACACCATTTAATAAATAAAACCATTATATCCTTCTTTGAGAATTTATGTAAAATTGATCAAAAAACTTCATGACAGTTACAAGAGCCTTTAAGTTTAGCTTAGCCGAGTCTGAACAGGAGAAAGAAAACCAACTGATGAGTAATTGACGTGATTGTATTAATCAGGTGAGTCAGCTAATCTCCTCTATAACTACAAACGGAGTGGTCGACTTTGAAACTTATTTTCATCATCTTTTCATCGCTTTAAGCGGCTTTCGGTCGACTACAGATTAGAAATGAGAACGTAATGTTAATAGATCCTTGAGCTTCAGTTTTTTGCGA